GCCGGCCCCCAGGTCAGAATTCTAAGACCAGGCCCTGCATAAAGGCTACATTGAAGGAAGACATCTACATTCCATTATTATCTTCATCCAGAACAAACAAAGCCAGGGTGGCTGACCTGTGGGCAGCAGGCTCTGCACTGGTACTCAGAGGGCAGGTCTGGGCCGGGCCAGCCAGATTTGCGAGTGTGCCCTTTTCACAGTATCCACATCAGCTGCCTTGAAGGCATCATTTGGTTTTCCTCTCTGCTTCTCTCTCACTCACCCACTCCTTCTCATTTATCCAGTCCCTGGCACCACGTTCCGTGGCAGGTTGCACAGAGGATCGGGGCTGCTGTGGACACGGTAACTGCCATTTCTGATTTCCATCACCCAAGAACTGGCAGCTCTAGGGAAACATGATTTCAAAAACAAGAAGGCAGCTTGTCCTAAAACCTTTTCACCCACGTCTCATCATCAGCACCACCTCACGTTAATGTCAGCGAGTCTGCGCCTCTCCTTCCATGTTGGAATAGGAAGGCTCGGTAGTGAGGGAGATCAGAGCAGCAGCAGCAGTGTGGCTCTGTTGAAGCTCAGGCGAGGGATTCTTGTTGCAATGGAGAAGGAGGTCATACGTGAGAAGTTACAAGGTTAGAGGAAGCCCCTAGTACTAATACCTTCATTGATGCCTTTTTCTTCTTTTAATTGACATAATTCACAGACTATAAAAATTGTCCCATTTTTAAAGTGCAGAATTCAGTGGTTTTAGCATGTTCACCATGCTGGACAACTTTGCCACTATCCAGTTCTTGAATGTTTCCATCACCCCACATAGGACCCTCCACCAGCCACTGCAGCCCCTGTGTGTTCCTGTGTCTCTGAATCTGCCTCTTCTGGACATTTCACTTACACAGGTTCTTACAGTATTCATACTTTTGTGTCTGGTTTCTTTCACTTAGCACAGTTCTTTCTAGGCTCTTCCATGGTATAGTGTGTGTCCAGGTCATTCCTTTGGATGGCTGAAGATATTCATGGTGTGAATACATTTTGTATATCTCCATGCATCGTCTGATGGATGTTTTCGTTAGTTGTCTTTGGACTATACTGCTGCTGTGAGCAGTAATGTATAAGTTTTTGTGTAGACACATGTTTTTATTTCTTTTGCGTATATGTGAGTGTGCTTCAAAAAGTTGTGGAAAACCGAGGCACTCCAGTGTGGGACTTGGGCATCCTAGAAGATGTCCTAATCACTAGACCAAAAACCATCCTGAATCTTTATTTTTTAAGAGGATGAGAAGGGAAAGAGGGCTGGCATTGTGACATGGCAGGTGGGAGCTGCCATTTCTGACACCAGCATCCCATACGGGCACTGGTTCGTGTTCAGCCTGCTTCACTTCCAATCCAGCTCCCCACTAATGGCTTGGGAAAAGCAGAGGAAGATGGCCCAAGTGCTTGGGCCTCTGCCACCCACGTGGAAGACCTGGATGAAGCTCCTGGCTTAGCCAGTGCTGGCTGTTGCAACCATCTGGGGAGTGAACCTGCAGATGGAAGATCTCTCTCTCTCTCCCTCTGTTACTCTGACTTACAAAATAAAAAATGATACCCTAAAAGACAAGAGAAGGAAAGGACTCGGGGAAAACGAGGAAGGAGGAGGCATGGATTTAAGTAGGCACAGGAGAGATTTAAATTAGACTGCAATTTCTAGTTTGGTTTCCCACGTAAAGACAGCAGAAGTGTAGTGGAGGGGCAGGTGTTGTGGTGCAGTGGGTTAAGCTGCTGTTTGAGACGGCTGCTAGTTTGAGTCCTGGCACTTCCACTTCCAATTCAGCTTCCTGCCAGTGCACCTAGAAAAGGCAAGATTATGGCTCAAGTATCTATGCCTCTACCACCCACATGGAAGACCCAGATGGAGTTCTGAGCTCCTGGCTCAGGCCAGTCCCAGCCCTGTCTTTTGCAGGCATCTGGGAAGTGAAGCAGGTGAAAATGGTATCTGTTTCACTGCCTTTCAAGTAAATGAAAATAAGTAAACATTTAAAACAACAACAACAAATAAGGTAGAGGGGCCAGCATTAGGACTCAAACCACTTTTTTAAAGATTTTATTTATTTATTTGAGAGGCAGAGTTACAGACAGAGGGAGAGACAGAGAGAAAGGTCTTCCATCCTCTGGTTTACTCCCCAAATGGCTGCAGTGGCCGGAGCTGGACAGATCCAAAGCCAGGAGCTTCATCCAGGCCTCCCACGTGGGTGCTGGTGCCCAAGCACTTGGGCCATCTTGCATTGCTTTCCCAGGCCATTAGCAGGGAGCTGGATTGGAAGTGGAACAGTCAAGACTTGAACCAGTGCCCATATAGGTTAGGGAGGCCTAACCTACTACGACAGCGCCAGCAAGATGCCCAATTTAGAAACGGGTGAAGTGCAGCTTCCTTTTCTTTGTGGGACGGTGGCCACGACTTCCTTCGCCGCTGCTCCTGGCCGGCAGAGGAAGTCGTGAGTGGGGAGGACTCGCTTCGCAGCCTAGGGAGCTTTAGCGTGACCTTCCCTTTGCTTCCTGACAGGGCAGATGTTTCTGGACCAGATGAAGCCCCCGACACTCTCCAGCTCGCAGAGACCAGGACAGCAGCACTTCTGAGTCCTCTGCGGGAGCCTTGCCCCGCCCACACACTATGTCAGGTGGGGGGCGGGAGGACTTGGGTGTGGCAAGGGAGTGGGGGCTTTCTGGGAGCCAGAGGACTGGGAGATGGCGGAGGCGAAAGTTACTAGAACATTCTTGTCTGCTCAGTTCTCACCCTGCAGCAGGCAGATGCCCTCTCTTAGGTGGAAAAGGCAAGGAGGCGGGGTTTGGTTGTGTTTTGTAACGTGGCTGCTTGCTTCCCCCAGAATCCACCCAATTCTAGTAGGGAGATGCCTTCCAGTCCCCTCCTCCACCCATCCCGCTCTAGATGGCCCAGTCCTTTTAATAGTGGCACTCTTGGAGAAGGAGGCGACATTTTGACTTTTCCTGTTTTCTTGATCTCTTCCTGGTCCTGTTTGGTTTTAGGAAGCCACATCCCTTCTGCCAGCGGCCCCTTCTCAGCCCTCACTCCAAGCATATGGCCCCAGGAGATCCTGGCCAAGTGCAAGCAGGTACAGCAGTAAGCCCAGTCCTTGCTGCCCGGGACTGGGTGGCTGACCCCACTGTGATACAGAGGGTCATGTGGTCCCCGTGAGAGATGGCATCTTAGTGCCATGTGCCTGTGTGAGTCAGTCATTAGGTTGGGTGAAAAATGTTATGGCCCCGTGCGCTCAGTATATGGAGACAGAAATACATGGAACATGTTTCTTGCCTTGATCTTACTATTTTAGTCAAGAACAAGGGAAATGCTCGGAGAATTCAGGGAAGCTGCTGACACGTATAGTTGGGTAGTGACCAGAGAAGCCTCTGTGGAAGGGTAACCTTGGATCTGGGTGGCATTTTAGCAGGCAGCCAAGAGGGTGGAGTCTTCCAAAACCCCAGTCCCACACTGGGAGCCAGACAACTGACCTCTTCCTAACCCTGGTTCTAGAAGGACGACTCAGCAGAGCAGCCGCACTTCTACTACGATGAGTTTGGTTTCCGCGTGGACAAGGAAGGTAAAATTGAGCCTCTCGTGTGTCGTCTTGCTGGTGCCCTAGGGAAACACCAGCTCCCATGGCCTGCAGTCCACATCACGTGACCTCCGAGGTGGATGTTCACCTCTTAAAGGTTGAATGACAGAGATGTATCTGAGGGGGATGCTGTTAGAAGTATATGGAGATCAGTTTTATTGATCTTCACCTAATAACTAAAAGCAGTATTGTTTATTGTAAAAAAAAAAAAAAACTTGAAAAATGCAGAAAATAAGGATTGAAACAAAGGTAATTCAAAATCCCGCTAACCCGGGGATAACTGCTGACATTTTAAGCGTGTTCCTTTCCTGCCTTTGTGTGTTTGATATGCTTTCATAACTAAGATTATATCACATATATATAATATTCTAACCTTATTCCATGAGCATTTTCCATGTCAGTCAAAACCAAGACCTTTTCATATTTTTCAGTGGCTACAGAATATCCTGATGCGCATTTATCATAATATTTTATAATGTTTTTATTAATAAGGGCCTCTAAGCCATTTCCATTGTTTTCCACTATAAACAGACCTGTTGGTTCCCTGGGGCTGTTGGGAAGGCCATCTGTCAGAACCGGGGGCAGCTAGCTGGTCACCAGGCCCAAACTCGTTAAGAGTTTGCAGTTAATGCAACATTTTAATTGACAGGAAACAGTCATGTGTATGTCACTCGTATTTCTGGTTCTGATGTAAGTTCTCCTTGTTCTAATCTGCAGCAGATATTTGGAGGTTACAAGCTTGGGTTAGGAGGAACGAGTATACTTTCAGAAGTTCACTAAGCAGTAGGCGTTTGGCCTATCAGTTACTGTGCTCGGGGGCGGGGACATTGTGGCTCCGGGATTAAGCTGCTGTGTGGGGTGCCTGTGTCCCATATCAGAGTGCCTGGTTTGAGTTCCAGCTACCCCACGCTTCCGGTCCAGCTCCCTGCTGGCGCCTGGGAAGCAGAAGATGTTGACCCGAGTGCTTGGGTTCCTCCTACCCAGGAGAGTGGTGACTCAGATGGAGTTCCTGGCTCCTGCTTTGCCCTAGTTGTTGTGGATCAGTAGATGGAAGATACCTCTCCATCTCTCCCTCCGTGTCTGTTACACTGCCTTTCAAATAAGTAAACTTTAAAAAAGAGAAAAAGGGATGCCTGGAATGCCACGTCCCGTGTTGGAGCGCATGGATTTGACCCCGGCTGTGGCTCCCGCCCCCAGCTTCTCGCTGATGTAGGCCCTAAGGGACAACGGCTCAAGTAATTGGGTTCCTGGCGCCAGGATGGGGACCTGGGTTGAGCGCCCAGCTCCCAGCTTCAGACCACAGCCCAGCCCAAAGCATCGCAGACATCTGGGGAGTGAAGCAGTTGATGGGAGCATTCTCTCTCCCTCCCTCCGTCTCTCAAATAAGTTTGTAGAAAATAGAATTAAAACATGAGTTTATTTTGTTGTAAAACTTGAACTCCATGCATGTTTTTTATAGTGTGCGTTTTTCATGAGCTCTCTGAGGACTCCGTGTGTGACGGGAGCGTCCTCGTCCCGATGGGTCACTGTGTTCAGACTGGAGTGCTCTCCCGCTGCCGCTGGGTCCTGTGAGGACAGAGTTCAGACATTGTTTGTTGGCGCACATCAAAACTTACACATGAGATTCATGGATTTTACTGTATTTGAAGGCACTGAAGTTGATGTTTCTAAAAGTGGGGCCGAGGGCTAGGCCTGTCCACAGTCCCTGAGCAGTATTTCATGAGACCCCCAGTGGCTTGCCCGCCCTCCTGGCTGTGTGTCTGGGTTACCGCCCTGGGGGCAGACAGACTAAACCGCTTCAGGCACAGAGAAGAGGGGAGGCGAGCCGTGTGTCAGATGGCCAAGGAAGCTCCTCAGAGGAGGGCACTAGACTAGACTAGGAGGAGGCCAGGGAGGGGCGCAGCTGGGGTCACAGGTGGGAGTGGATGAGGTGGGGGAGAGCAGGCACCCTGTGGTAAGGAAAGGGCAAGGAGAAGGCAGTGGGAGGCGAGGGCAGGGGGCTGGGCAGACCCTTGCCCAGTGCCCAGCAGGTTCTGAGCCGTGACGCACCACTGTGACTGCAGCAGAGGCAGCCTTTGGAGACCAGCCAGGCCGCTGCCGGCCCCACACGAGGGACGCTGGCTTGGCTGAGGCAGGAGTCCGCTGGTCGGAAGTCAGGAAATCCTGCCCTGCCTGCCTGCAGATTGAACGTGGTATAGAGAAAGGAAGAGCCAAAGGCGACTCCAGGGCTCTGGTCTGAGCCTGAGAACGGGGTGTCCTCTGGGGAGCCTGTAGGAGGAGGCAGCTGTGGGGAGACAGTGAAGAGGTCAGGTTTGATCTTCGGGATGCCTGGTGGACGTGCTGCTGAGCTCTCCGCAGGCTGTGGGCCGGGGGGTGTCGGGGCAGAGAGCTGGCCTAGAGGCAGAGCTCAGGGCCCTCTTGGGAGAGACTTGGCTGCCCTGGAGTGTGGTGCAAGCGACAGGTTTTCCCTCTGCTCCCTGCAGAAGGTGCTGAGCCCAGCTCCAGTCCGCTGCCCAGCGCGTCCCTGGTGGACGACCCTCCGCAGACGCTGCGCTGGCAGGCCCACCTCGAGTTCACCCACAACCACGATGTGGGGGACCTCACCTGGGACAAGATTGCAGTCTCCCTGCCCCGCTCGGAGAAGCTCCGCTCCCTGGTGCTGGCTGGCATCCCACATGGCATGAGGCCACAGGTGAGGCGGCAGAGGGGCCAGAGGCTCCTGCCCGTGCTGGTGTCACGAGGAACTGAGTGCTGTGCGGCCCTCCCGCAGCTGTGGATGCGGCTCTCGGGGGCCCTGCAGAAGAAGAGGAACTCGGAGCTGTCCTACCGCGAGATGGTGAAGAACAGCTCCAGTGATGAGACCGTAGCTGCCAAGCAGGTGAGGCGGGCCGCCTGCGGCTCTGGGACCGTCCGCCCTGGGCGGTGTCCTTGGCCGGGGCGTTAGCCCTGAGCTGCCTAGAACCGTGTGCCTAGAAGCAGCTGCGCCTCCTGAGTCTTCCATAGGCCCCAGGGAGGACTCCCAAAGGCCTCAGCGTGTGCAAGGACAGGAGGTGAACCCCACCTGGGGACGCCTGGCCAGCCGAGCCGCGCAGTCTCTGGCTCTCACTCCTCAAGTGCTGGCATCTGACCCTGAAGGGAGGAGGGGCGCCTTTCCCTGGGAGACGGGGACCCGCTCGCCTCACGGGTCTCCCTGTGGGGCTGGGGGTGCCCGGCAGATCGAGAAGGACCTGCTCCGCACCATGCCCAGCAACGCCTGCTTCGCCAGCGTGGACAGCATCGGGGTGCCTCGCTTGCGCAGGGTCCTCCGAGCCCTGGCCTGGCTCTACCCGGAGATTGGCTACTGCCAGGGCACAGGCATGGTGAGCACAGCCTCAGAAGGGCAGGGCTGTACCCAGGGGCGTTCCCAGGTCTCCTGGGGAGGGGTGATTTCATCCTCCGGGGTGGACCTGGGAGTCCCCAGGAAGGGCAAGGGCAGTGGCGTCTGCGGTCCCCGCAGAGTGGGCCTCTGGGGTCCGGAGAGGCAGGGCTCCTCCGCCTGCGCGGGGAGGGCCTGCGCCTGACGCCCAGAGTGCTGGCGCGAGGCCTTGTCCCCGTGCCCCGGCCAGGTGGCTGCCTGCCTCCTGCTGTTCCTGGAGGAGGAGGACGCGTTCTGGATGATGTGCGCCGTCATCGAGGACCTGCTGCCCGCCTCCTACTTCAGCACCACGCTGCTCGGCGTGCAGACCGACCAGCGCGTCCTGCGCCACCTCATAGTCCAGTACCTGCCCCGCCTGGACAGGCTGCTGCAGGAGCACGACATCGGTGAGGCCGGCAGCTCCGGGCACAGCCGGCGGCGGCACACGCGGTCCCCGTCGCTCCTGTTCCCTGGCGTTTCCTGACCCTGCCCCCTGTGCGCTGTCCCCGTCTCCCCAGAGCTGTCCCTGATCACGCTGCACTGGTTCCTCACGGCCTTTGCCAGCGTGGTGCACGTCAGGCTGCTGCTGCGCATCTGGGACCTGTTCTTCTACGAGGGCTCCTTGGTGCTGTTCCAGACCACGCTGGGCATGCTGCGCCTCAAGGTGCTTCCCCCAGGCCGTGGGCCTGTGTGCCAGGCGCAGCCACCTGCCGGCCCTCTGGGGACACCCCTGGTGCCTGCTGAATGTGGGGCGGGGGATGGGTCTGAGGACGTGGATGGGGTCAGCCTGCAGCCAGGCACACAGCAGTGCCGCCTCCATCCGCTGCCTGCCCTTGCACGGCCCAGGAGGAGGAGCTGATCCAGTCTGAGAACTCGGCCTCCATCTTCAACACGCTGTCAGACATCCCGTCGCAGATCCACGACGCAGAGCTGCTGCTGGCCGAGGCCATGCGGCTGGCCGGCTCCCTCACTGACGTGGCCGTGGAGACCCAGCGCCGCAAGCATCTGGCCTACCTCATCGCAGACCAGGGCCAGCTGCTGGGGACCAGCGCCACCACCAACCTCTCTCAGGTCGGCCCACGGCCTGGGGTCCCTGGAGGGAGGGGCTGCAGGGACAGACGGGCGCTTTGTCCATGCAGCCCCAGGGCAGGGAGGGCATGCCCAGTGAGACGGCCAGTGTGGGGTGACGCAGCCCCCAGGGGCCGTGCATCCCAGACTGTGACCCTGGCAGGCTGGGAGTGGGACAGATCCTGCTCCGAGTGCATCCTCAGAGTCTTGCAGACGAGCCCGTGGGAGTGACCTGGTAGTGGGTCAGCGTCCCCCTGCGTGGTGGGGGCCGTGGTCGCCGACCTGCTCCCCCTCCCTGCAGGTTGTTCGGCGCAGGACCCAGCGCAGGAAGTCGGCCATCACCTCCCTGCTGTTCGGTGAGCCCCCGCTGCTGCAGGCGGCTGGGTGCCGAGCCTGGGCCTTCCCCTGCGGCTGTGGGCGTGGGTGTCCGCTCCGCAGGGCCTGGGGAGGGGAGGCTGCCACAGCTCTGTTGCCTCCTAGGGGAGGACGACCTGGAAGCGCTCAAGGCCAAGAACATCAAGCAGACAGAACTGGTGGCCGACCTCCGGGAAGCCGTGCTGCGTGTGGCGCGCCACTTCCAGTGCGCGGACCCCAAGAACTGCAGCGTGGTGAGTCGCAGGCTCCCCAGGCCCGCTCACGGTGCGGAGGCCGCTCCCCGTGCCCACGCTTCTGTCCGCTGCGGCAGGAGCTGACCCCGGACTACAGCATGGAGAGCCACCAGCGGGACCATGAAAACTACGTGGCGTGTTCTCGCAGCCACCGGCGCCGGGCCAAGGCCCTGCTGGACTTCGAGCGGCACGACGACGACGAGCTGGGCTTCCGCAAGAATGACATCATCACGGTGCGCCCCAGCCCGCCCAGCCTCCTCTGAGCCGTGGGCTCTCGGTCCGGCCGGGGGTGGGCGGGGCTCCTGGCAACCGGGCCCTGGTGTTGGTTTTCCCGCGCAGATCGTTTCTCAGAAGGACGAGCACTGCTGGGTCGGGGAGCTGAACGGCCTGAGAGGTGAGGGCCTTCGAGGCATCTCGAGGTGGGGGCCGCGAGCACGCTCTCCCGGACCCCGGGGAGGGCTGGCCAGCCACTGCCCCTCCTCCCACAGGCTGGTTCCCCGCCAAGTTTGTGGAAGTCCTGGATGAACGCAGCAAGGAGGTAAGAGTGGCAAGACAGGGCTGTCCTGGGAGCTGCTCCTGCCTTGACCTGGCCCAGCCGGGGCCTGTGTCCCCTGTGAGCCCCAGCGGGTGCTAGGGCAGTGAGGGCAGGGGGGCGGGGACTGGCTGCGGGCTTCAGGCTGGGCCTTCTCCGACCTGTTCCCCGTCAGTACTCCATTGCGGGGGACGACTCGGTGACGGAGGGAGTCACAGACCTCGTGCGAGGGACCCTGTGCCCGGCCCTCAAGGCCCTGTTTGAACATGGATTGAAGAAGCCATCCCTGCTTGGGGGTGCCTGCCACCCCTGGCTGTTCATTGAGGAGGTGAGTCGGCAGCTGGCCTGTGCCTGAGCCCTGCAGTGCCCGGGGCCTGCGGGAGGGGCAGGCAGGGCGGCGGTGTGCCCGCACCGACAGCTGTCCCGGGCCCACAGGCGGCGGGCCGGGAGGTCGAGAGGGACTTCGATTCCGTGTACTCCCGCCTGGTGCTCTGTAAGGCCTACAGGTAGCCGGCGCCCGGGGGGGTGGGGAGGGTGGCGGTGGGGGCAACTTTGTGCCCCGAACCACAGAGTGCTCCTGGAGCTTTGGTCCCCTCAGGTTGGATGAAGATGGCAAAGTCCTGACCCCGGAGGAGCTGCTGTACCGGGTGAGCAGGGCCTGCTCTGCCAGCCCCTAAACCTGCCCGGGCTGGCCCGTGTCACCTGAGTGACAGCTGTGCCCCTGTAGGCCGTGCAGTCCGTGAACGTGACTCACGATGCAGCACACGTGCAAATGGACGTCAAGCTCCGCTCGCTGATCTGTGTGGGGCTGAAGTGAGTGTAGACGGGGTGGGTTCGGGGCTGGAGGAGTCCCAGAGAGCAGTGGTCCTGCCCAGCCCAGGCTCCTCAGGGACCCTCAGGTCCTCAGGGCCCTGCCTGCCCCCAGCGAGCAGGTGCTGCACCTGTGGTTGGAGGTGCTGTGCTCCAGCCTGCCCACGGTGGAGAAGTGGTACCAGCCCTGGTCCTTCCTGCGCAGCCCTGGCTGGGTCCAGATCAAGTGTGAGCTCCGGTGAGGGCCTGGCTGCGGGCGGGGGCGGGGGCAGGGGGCAGTCAGCGCTGACTGAGGGTGACGAGCGCCTCCCCCCCTCTGCCCAGTGTGCTCTGCTGCTTTGCCTTCAGCCTCTCTCAGGACTGGGAGCTCCCTGCCAAGAGAGAGGTGGGTGAGGTGGGCCCCGGAGGACCCTGGGTTGCTGGCGCCCACGCCCGGCTCCTGCCGCGGTGACAGGGCTGTCCTGTGCCCAGGAGGAGAAGCAGCCCCTGAAAGAGGGCGTCCAGGACATGCTGGTGAAGCACCACCTTTTCAGCTGGGACATAGACGGGTGACGCGCTGCTCCGGCTACGCTGCGGTGCCCAGGCCGCCTCAACCCGCGCACGACCCGAGCAGCCCCTCCCTCAAACAGGAAGTGCGTCACCACCCTGGCCAGTGGCAGGCCTGCAGTGGGACAGGGTCTGAAGTGGCCCAGGACGGGAGAAGCTCCCAAGCCCTGGCCTTCCCAGGGTTGCTGGGGGCAGACGAGAGGTGGGTGGGTGCCTGGCTCAGTGCTTGCCTGCAAGCCCCAGCGACCAGAAACCTCGAGGGGAGCTGTGGTCCCTGTGCTCAGGAAGGGGCGGGGCGGGGTGGCGGCTGCGGTTTGTAAATAAATCGTGTGTGAGAATGTGCCTCCCAGCTGGTGTCCAGCCGGCGCCCTGCGCTCCTAGGAACTGCGTCAGGACCCTGCCACCTGCTGGACGCTCCTGTGGGACGCCAGGACCTGGCGCTGAGCTGAGGAAGACGCAGACAAGCGGGTGTTTTTGCTTTTATTTTAAAGTTCACACGGCTCCCCCCACCCATCCCAGCACAGGTTTTGGTGATGCCACCCCCACCCCCTACGGATCAGGCCCGAATGTGAGGTCAGTGGCCCCAGGGCTCCAGGAGGGGCCACCACTTGGCACCCAACGGGGAGTCGAGCCCAAGGTCCCTCCTCCCCCAGGGCTGCTGTTGGCTGCAGTGAGGCAACGGGGACGGAATGTGGGCGGGTGGGGAGCTGCTGGCCGGAGCCAGGGAGCGCCTCTGCTCTCATGGCACTGACGGGGAGCCAGGCAGCAGGGGGTGGCAGAGGCATGGCCAACACACGTGATGGGTGGGCCTGGGCACCAGCACCCCGACATGGCACACCCTGGGGGAGCCCTGCATCCAGGCCCTTCTGTGAGAGGGGGAGGGGAGCTGCACCTCTGGCCGCCCCGTGTGTGTAGATATGTATGTCGGTATATAGTAGAGGTATATACACCTGTACAGGAAGCCTTCGCCGTCAGCCTCTGGTTACACCACACCAAGACACCAAAAAAGCAGGCCTGGGGAGGGGCAAGAGAACAGGTTCACTCATGGACCCGCCTCCTGGCTGGGCCTCCCCTGCCTTAGCCAAGCTTCAGCCAGAGACCGTGCACCTCTGACCTCAAAAAAGGTCAAATAGCCCTGGCCCCGTCCGGGCCTCTAACGCCCGACTGTGGGACCCACTGTGGGCGGCTTCGCCCTCCCCTGCCCTGGTGAGCCTCAGCTCCCGGGGAAGGGGGAGGGGACTGATTGTCGAGACTCGGCCACGGGGAGAGCGCCACGCTGCTCATAGTTCTGTGGCCGCCCGGCTTCCAGCCCGTCTCCAACCCGTGTCTGGAGTCAGAGCTACAAGCAGGAATCCCAGTGTAACTGCAAGTCGTGGCCATCGAGGAAGTCTGTGGAAAAGAGGCTGGGGGCTGCCGTGCTGAGGGGGGCCAGGCTGAGCACAGGACCCCCTGACAGCTCCAGCCAGTCCATGCTGTCCAGGTGGCCGTCGGCCAGGTCCAGGCCCGCGCTGCTGCTGGGCTCAGGGGCAAAGTGCAATTCCGAGGTGTCCATGGGCGACGGGGGGTGGTCCAGGATGGCAGAGCTGCTCAGCATCTGGCTGTGCAGGTCGTCGATGAGGGACAAGGGCTCTGGCCCTTCCGGCCCGCCCGGCAGCAGGGGCAGCCCGGTGCTGCTCTCCAGGAAGTCCTCCAGGCGCCCGGGCAGGGCAGGGGAGCCCGGGGCGGGCGGGGCAGCCTGGGGGAGCTCAGCAGAGGGCGAGGGCTGGGTGGCTGGTGGGGACCCGCAGGCTGCTGTCGCGGGCGGCTTCTCCTTCCCCGCCAGGGCTGGCGGTTCCTTGAAATCTGCTGAGATCTCTGCCGGTCGAGACAGGGAGAGGGTGTCAGAGACCCAGAGAAAGCAGACCCTTCCCTCGCTCCCGCGCTGCACACGATGAAACAGCCAAGGACAGACACTGCCCACACCCCTGAGCGCAGGCCAGACCCAGTGAGTCAGGATGGCGAGAGGGGGAAGCCACCCCCGCGCTGCTGTGAGGTGGGGACCGCCATCGTGGAAGGCAGTGCAGGGCGCAGCTTGCTCAGCAGTTCCCTTGCAGGGTACACGGGCGTCCCCTGGCGGACAGACATGGACCGCCGAGTAAGCCAGCCACCGAAGACGTCCACAGCCGTCCACGGCACAGAGGGAAGAATGGCAGCCGCCGAGGGCTGTGGGAGGAGGGGAGGGGCTCCTGGTCAGAAAGCTGCGTGTCTTAGTTCGGGAGAAGGGAAACGTCTTAGAAACGGACAGCACAGCACTGTGGGCTTAATGCCACGAAATTAAGTACATTTAAAAATGGTTCGAATGGCCAATTTTGTCATCCAGACTTTACAATTAAAAAAAAAGACGCAGAGCCGAGCTTAGCTCCCTGCCTGGCCGGCCCGCTCCCCTCTGCTCCTGCAGGGCCGCCTCCTAGTGGCTGGCAGGACAAGCAGACCCTGCCTCTCCCACAGGGCAGGGGTGCTCAGCGCCTGAGGCGTGTGGGTCACACCCCGGAAAGGCTCTGGGCAGCTCAAAAGCCACTCAGGAGGGCTGCCATCGGGTGAAGCTGCTGCTCGGGGCGCCCAGAGCCCACCCTGGAGCACTGGCCCGACTCCGGCTGCTCCACCCCTTGGCCAGCTCCCCACTAAGCAGCTGGGGAGCAGGGATGATGGCCTGCCACCTTCGCCAGGGACCCAGACGGAGCTCGCTTCAGCCTGGCCCAGCCCAGACCTTACGGCCATTCGGGGCGTGCGCCAGTGGATGGAAGATCTCACCCCTTCCCTCCTACTCTCAAATTCATCTATTTTTTTCTCCAAATATTTATCTGTTCCTTTGAAAGCTACAGAGAAACAGAGATGCAAAAAGATCTTTCATCCGCTGGTTCACTCCCCAAATGGCCGTAACGTCTGGGCTGGGCCAGGCCAAAGCTGGGAGCCTCTTCAGGCCTCCCATGTAAATGAATCTTTGCGCTGCGGCTGGCGCACTGTGCTGATCCGAAGGCAGGAGCCAGGTGCTTCTGCTGGTCTCCCATGGGGTGCAGGGCCCAAGCACTTGGGCCATCCTCCGCTGCACTCCCTGGCCACAGCAGAGAGCTGGCCTGGAAGAGGGGCAACCGGGACAGAATCCGGCGCCCCGACTGGGACTAGAACCCGGTGTGCCAGCGCCGCTAGGCAGAGGATTAGCCTAGTGAGCTGCGGTGCCAGCTGTAAATGAATCTTAAAAACACAGTCATACAGCTGGCACTGTGGCGAAGTGAGTAAAGCCGCCACCTGCATCAGTTCGAGTCCCAGCTGCTCCACTTTGGATCCAGCTCCCTGCTATGGCCTGAGAAAGTAGTAGAAGATGGCCCAAGTGCTTGGGCCCCTACACCCACATGGGAAGAAGCTGCTGGCTCCTGGCTGTTGAGGCTGTCTGGGGAGTGAACCAGCGGATGAAAGACTCCTCTCTCCCATAATAAATCTTAGGAACACACACACACACACACACACACACACACACACACAGTCACCCTTGCAAAGGGTGGTTCCACAGCTGAACTGCTTTACCTGCTCGGGCTTCCTGCCTATGACCACCAAGGACAGCCCCACAAGGCCCGCCCAGCACTGGGCCCTCAGAGCGCGTGGAGGTCCCTAAACCGCTAAAGGGGTCCCGTCGGCCCACACCCCTGCGTCTCCACCCTGCACCTGCCCCAGAGCACTCCCCACCCCTTTCCAGTCCTCCAGCCCCAACTCTGTGCTCGCAACTCACTCCTGATGACCTGGCCTTCACGTCTGGACACCCAGGGCTCCGGGAGCCCGCACGCACCTGACTGCCCACGCGCGTCTCCGCCCCAGCCCTGCAGTCAGCCCACCTGCTCTCCCTCACCACACCCAGGCTCTCTCCAAACCGGGCAGGCTCAGCCCCTTAGCACAGCACCGCTGCCTCCAGCCCAGGCGCCTGCCTCCCCACGGTCCCCATGGTTGCCTCCCAGCACACAGCTCCGTCTCCACTGCAGACCAGGAGCCCACACTGGAGCAGCCCAAATGCCCCAGCCACACCCTGGCTCCCATGCTCCGCCCAGGACCTCGGACGTCCTCCTCCCACTGGCCCTGCGCCCCGAGCTCCTGACACTGTGGCCCCAACATTGGCTACGCTGACACTTCAGGTGACAGCTTTGCTTCCTGTACCTGGGGTTCACGTCCCCACCTGGCAAACATGTCTGCCCGTGGATCTGTCCCAGGCCTCAGGAGCCAGAGGCACCGCGCACCAGGTGCTCCGTCCAAACGGGGAAGGCCTGCCACCCACCAAGCGTTCAAGAGTTGAACCGCCGCCCCCACCTCAGGCTGCAGACAAGCTACGCACAGAGGGGCCGCGGGCCTGGCCCTTACCTCCGCTCTGAATAAGAATGTCAAACAGGTCGTCCATATGCTGGCTGGAGGAGCCGTTCTCCTGGGGATGGACAGAGACAGGATGAACGTGGACAGAAGCCCCGGCCCCTCCTTCCACAGAGACCGCGGAGCCCTCCCTGCGCTCAGCCCGCTGGAGGCCCGGGCGTTCCTGCCCGGTGGAGGACACAGGCCGGCCTCCCCCACCCCGTGCTCTGCCGGGGGGCCGGGCCCAGTACCTTCACCTGCTGTTTGGGCTGCTGGTTCACAGCTTCCTCGTAGCCAGGGGGCTCCTTCTTCAGCAGGGGGGTGGGGGTCCCAAAGAGGGGCTGTGGCGGGCGCTCCAGGTCCATGTGAGCAGGGGCACCGGGGGCAGGAGAGCCAGGCTGAGACAAGGGCTGCACAGGACGGGAAAGCAGCAGCAGTCGGTGGCTGGCAGGCTCCAGGGCTAGGACCTCCCCCCAGAAGGCCACGGTGTGCGAGGGTCCAGGCGTAGGTGGGGGTTGCTCAGGGGTCCCGCGGCCCAGGCCCACTTGCAGGACTGCCCTGATGTCCCTGGCCAGAGTGGGGGCAGCTCCTGCTGGGTCTGTGGGGTCCCAAGCAGCCCCTTTCACCCTGAAGCCCCAGTAACCTCCTTGGTGATGTGGGCGTGGGAACCCTCATTTCGGAGGGCCGAAGGGAGACTAAACGCAGGGAGCCTGAAACGCTGGCCCAGCCTCCCCAGGTACCTGCTGGGGGCTCCCGGTGGGCAGCCCGGGGCCGTCTGCGTTCTTGTTGGTCACGGTGAGGACGAGGGTGGGAGGTGGAGCCCCCTTGAGGAGGCCGGGGCCCTGGGGGCCCAGGAGCAGCTGGGAGGCAGGGGCCTGCTCGGGCTCAGGCTGCGCGGCTTCCTGCTTCACCACCACGGCCGGCGGGCCCGGGGCCGAGACCTGGGCATCCGCAGGGTCGGCCGCTGAGGCCGCCAGGCTGGGGCTGAAGGGGTGTGCGGGGCCCAGGGCCGGGCAGCCCAGCTGGCAGCTGGCGAAGCTGCTCTCCTGCTTCACCGGGGCGGGGGCCGCCTGCTGGGCCCGCTTCTCCTGCTCCAGCTGCAGCCGGAGCAGCTCCACCAGCTGCTGCTTCTGCCGGAGCATGCGCGTCAGCTCCTCGATCTGCTTGTCCTTCTCCTGCAGCATCTGGTCCTTGTCGCGCGCCCCCGGGCTCCGGCAGCAGGGGGCGCCCCGCGGCCCCTCTTCCTTCACCAGGACCTGCAGCGGCGAGGCCTGCAGGGTGAGCTGCGTCAGCGGCGAGGTCACCATCTCACCGAAGGTGTCCCCCGGGGTGGAGTTCTCGTCCCCGGTGCTGAGCAGTGACCGCTCCGAGGGGGTGGGCGACACCGGGGGCGTGGAGCCCGTGCTGCCGAACTTCACCACTCCGCTGCCGGTCACCGTGGCCACCACCACCTCGGCCGGGGCCAGGCCCGCCGCCACCAGGGCCGGCCCCGTGCTCAGCCGGGCGGCCGGGAAGGCCACCACCACCTCCCCAGCCTTGGACAGGAGCGAGGCGGCGGCAGGGGCCTTGGGGAGCCCGGGGGCAGGGCTGGGCTGGTCGTGGTGGGCACGCAGGCGCTCGATCAGCTCCGTCTTGGTGCCCGAGACGGGCAGGGAGCGCAGCTTCAGCTCCTGCTTCAGCTCTGCCACCTGCAGGGGGGTCAGGAGTCAGGGCCGGGGCCGGGCAGGTGGGCGCCTTGGACCTCAGGCCCTTGCCCGTCCCCTCCCTCCCACCGTCCTCACCAAGCCGGGCCAAAGTAGGCGGACTGATTTTACAGGTGAGAAAACTGTTCCCAAGAGTAAAAGAACTTTGAGATCACAGAGACGGAGAGGGCCCGAGCCGGGCGCCGAGCCAGGTCTGCCGGAGCCTGGCGCCCATCCCGGCCGCGTCCGAGAGCCGGGTCTTGCTAGGATCTGGGCTGGCGCACGAGGCGGCCTCCTGCAGGACACAGTCACTGCGAGGGAGGACGGGTCCATTCCAGGCCAGGCCCTGGGGCCTCCGCCCACCACATCCACCAGCCAGGTCTGTGCGCCCCGGGCAGGGCCCCCGGCCCCTGAGCGCACACAGCATTCATGTCACATTCAGCTGAGCCGGGGCCCTGCCCTCGCTGGCCTGACTGGACTCGGGCGACTGCTGAGCCCCTGGACGCTTCAGGGGTAGCGGGGCCCGTTTCTCACGCTGTCCCACACTGACACGGCTGCCTGCTCACTCCCAAGGCTGAGATGTCGCTACGATCACAGCCACGTGGGCTCGGCACGGGTTCCGAAGTGCCCCTGTCACGGGTGACAAGGGTGGAGCCCAGCCCTGCCCTGCCCTCCCCGGGGTGGGCCCGGGCCAGCCGCCTTCCTGCCTAAAAGCCGGGCGGCCCTACCTTCATGTCGTCCAGGTTGGCTGGCAGGGCTGCCGGCTTGCCGCTCAGCGGGGTGCTGTTCTGCCTCGCCAGCCCACTGGGCCCCGGGGCGCCCGGGCTGGAGCCGCCGCGCACCGGCGGGGATGCGCCGTTCCCCAGGGTCTCCCCCGCTGGCCTGAGGAGAGAAGGCAGACGGGAGCGCCATGCGGCAGGCGGCGCAGCCCCGGGGCGGGGCGGGCCGGGGCTCCTGCTTGGCGGGGCGGGGCGGGGCGGGGCTCCTACTTGGGCGGGGCGGGGCAGGGCGGGGCGGGGCTCCTGCTTGGGCGGGGTGGGGCTCCTGCTTGGGCAGGGCGGGGCGGGGCTCCTACTTGGGCGGGGCGGGGCTCCTACTTGGGTGGGGCGGGGCTCCTACTTGAGTGGGGCGGGGCAGGGCGGGGCTCCTACTTGGGCGGGGCGGGGCTCCTACTTGGGTGGGGCAGGGCGGGGCCCCTACTTGGGCGGGGCGGGGCAGGACGGGGCTCCTGCTTGGGCGGGGCGGGGCGGGGCGGGGCGGGGGGGGGGCTCCTACTTGGGCGGGGCGGGCAGGATGGTCTGGTAGTTGTAGTGCTGCTGCTGCTGGTTGAGGATCTGCAGCTGCAGGAAGAGCTGCTGCTGCTGCAGGATCTTTGCGTAGGCCGAGTCCATGGGGGGCGCGCCGCGGTCCCGCCTGTGGTCGGGGGGCACGTACTGGTGGTACTTGAGCTTCTTCACCTTCGGCTTCGGCTCCTTGGCCTTCTTGCTGCGCTGCGGCCTGTCGCTGGCAGACCTGGGTTGGCTTTGCTGCGGCACAGGGGACGGGCGCCATCAGCAGCCGCCCCAGCAGCCCTGCCCACCCGCCCCTGCTGCACTGGACTCCTCCACCATCAGTGCCCAGAGTGTGCGGGGGGCTGGGGTGAGAGGACCCAGCCCAGCCTCCGTCCTGCAAGGGCCCTGCCGGGGAGGGGGCATCAGTGCCCAGAGTGTGCGGGGGGCTGGGGTGAGAGGACCCAGCCCAGCCTCCGTCCTGCAAGGGCCCTGCCGAGGTGGGGGGCCTCAGTGCCCAGAGTGTGCGGGGGGCTGGGGTGAGAGGACCCAGCCCAGCCTCCGTCCTGCAAGGGCCCTGCCGGGGGTGGGCATCAGTGCCCAGAGTGTGCGGGGGGCTGGGTGAGAAGGTTCAAGCCAGCTCTTTTCTGCAAGGGCCTACCGAAGGGGGGGGCTCAGTGCCCAGAGTGTGCGGGGGCTGGGGTGAGAGGGCCCAGCCCAGCCTCCGTCCTGCAAGGGCCCTGCCGGGGGTGGGCATCAGTGCCCAGAGTGTGCGGGGGGCTGGGGTAAGAGGACCCAGCCCAGCCTCCGTCCTGCAAGGGCCCTGCCGGGGTGGGGGGTGAACCAAAGGCACAGGCAGACACCGGGACCCTGCGTGGCACACGGCGAGGCGGCAGACCATGGCTGGCTGAGGGAGCACGGGCCGGGCACGTTGGGAAGAGGCGGCCACACCTCTCGGCAACACCTAGGCAGGAGGCTGGCACCGAGCTGCAGCAGCATCCCAGACAGGTGCCGGTTCAAGTCCCGGCTGCTCCACTCCCCATCCCGCTCCCTGCTAACGGCCTGGGGAGGCAGCAGAAGACGGCCCAAGTGCCTGGGCCCCTGCCATGCACGTGGGAGACCTGGATGGAGTTCTGGGTCCTGACTTAGGCCCAGCTGCTGTGGCCATTTAGGGAGTGAACCAGTGGATGGAAGATTTCTGTCTCCCCTTCTCTGCCTTTCAAATAAATAAATCCAAAAAGAATGTCCAGGCAGGAAGTGTCCTGGGCTTCAAACGCAGAAATGGCCTCCGAGAAGTCACCGCCCCCAGCGCTGCACCAGGATTTTTTTTTAAACAATTATTTATTTATTTATTTATTATTTGAAAGGCAGAATTACGGAGAGGCAGAGAGAGAGAGGTCTTCCATCTGCTGGTTCACTCCCCAGATGGCTACAATGGCCGGAGCTGGGCCCATCTGGAGCCAGGAGCCAGGAGCTTCTTCTAGGTCTCTCACGTGGACGCAGGGCCGACGTCCACCGTTTTCCCAGGCCGTGGCAGCCGGATTGGAGTGGAGCAGCCAGGACTTGAACTGGCAGCATATATGGGATGCCAGCACTGCAGGTGGCAGCTTTACCCACTACACCACAGCACCGGCCCCGCACAGGGATCTTAATCAGGACCGTCAACCCAGGAGCTCCTCTTCATGCCAAGTGTGTCCCAGAGACTTCAGGCTGCCACAGTGATCAGCCCAGAGGGCCCGAGGTCCCAGGCCCAGACTAAGAAGAGCCAGGGCTCATGCAGAGGCAGCCTGGCCCTGTAGAGGGGGGAGTGGATGAGGGAGGAGGAGCTGGCAGGGCACTCTGGAGAGGAAGCAGGGAACCTCAACGTTCCTGAGCAGACAGGGGTGGGCGGCGCACTCGGCTGGGGTCAACCACGTGCAGAGGCCAAGAGGAAGGCTCGGGGCAGAGGTGGCCCCTGCGGAGGAGGAACGGGCACACGAGGCCAGGGAAGCTGGGGGCCCAGGTGTGGAGGCGTGGATCTGCAGCAGGCCCAGGGGGCGGGACGGGAGCTGAGGAACCACAGGGAGGAGGAGGGACAGCCCAGAGGGCCCCCCGCTGAGGGAGGAGACAGCCCAAAGTGCAGCTCCAAACCCAGCGATCGGACAAGGCGGGGAGGACGGTGTGCAGCCAGGGGCCTCGCTGGGGACGCTGTAGGGTGAGGGGATGGCTGGGAGCTGACCCGCAGGGGGCTGAGGACTGGAGTGGATAAGAGGGAGCACAAACCCCACGTGCGCTCCTCTTCCAGACAGGAGGGAGCGCGACAGAACGAGCTAAGGCAGGCGCTGGGGGAGCCGGGAAGTCGCTGAGCAGGCTGCAGACCCCGGACAGGTGCGCCTGATGAGGTCCAGCGTGGCGCCCACACCGCGGAGAGTGCAGGTGAGCTGGGACGAGGCCGCGTGCGGGGCCAGAGGCACAGGGAGGACCGGCGACGGGGGGCACGGGGAGGACTGACGACGGGGGAGGCACGGGGAGGACTGACGACGGGGGGCACGGGGAGGACCGGCGACAGGGGAGGCACGGGGAGGACCGGCGACGGGGGAGGCACAGGGAGGACCGGCGACAGGGGAGGACTAGCGACAGGGGAGGACCAGCGTCTCACGGAGGCACGGGGAGGACCGGCGACAGGGGAGGACTAGCGACAGGGGAGGCACGGGGAGGACCGGCGACAGGGGAGGCACGGGGAGGACCGGCGACAGGGGAGGACCAGCGACAGGGGAGGCACGGGGAGGACCGGCGACAGGGGAGGACTAGCGACAGGGGAGGCACGGGGAGGACCGGCGACAGGGGAGGCACGGGGAGGACCAGCGACGGGGGAGGCACGGGGAGGACCGGCGACGGGGGAGGCACGGGGAGGACCGGCGACGGGGGAGGCGGGCGGCAGGGGAGGACCAGCGACAGGGGAGGCATGGGGAGGACCAGCGACGGGGGAGGCATGGGGAGGACCAGCGACGGGGGAGGCACGGGGAGGACCAGCGACGGGGGAGGCACGGGGAGGACCAGCGACGGGGGAGGCGGGCGGCAGGGCCTAAGGGGCTCAGGCAGCTGACGCACAGCCTTGGCCTCAGCCACGTGCAGACACAGGGGCACCGGGCATGTGGCCCTCATGGGGCAATGGGGAGTGTCAGAGACAGACTCAGTGAAGAGAGGAGCCCAGGGTGGCCAGGGCGCCCAGCCAGGGCATAGTCTATGTGGGGAGGCAGCCGAGGGAGGAAGAAAGAGCCGAGTAGGAGGGACAAGACAAGCAAGGCAGGGAGGGCGGGAGACGGAACCTGGGCTCAGGCCTGGGACCCCAGCACCCCCCCCCCATGAACCCTGCCTCCCTCGGTATCTCAGGTCAGGCCTGCAGCTGGGGGATCCAGGCACAGCCCAGGGCCCGCTCATGGCCTTGGGCAGCACTGGGCTGTCAGGATGCGTGGGGGCAGCTGCGCTCCGTCCGTGGCCACTGCGACCGTGCGCCAGGGACAGCGGGGAGAACAGCCAGAAATGCCCAGGTCATCTTGGTGACCTCTGCTGGTCCCGACTCCTGGGGGACGACGTGCACCCCCCCCTCGCCGTGAGGAGGCGCACCTGCAGGCAACTGTACCTTAATGAGCGTGGGGGGCGGCTTGGCGGTGGGGGCAGTGCTTCCATTGGTGAGGCTGGGAGGCAGCAGAGGCGGGGGAGGCAGAGGGGGCTGCTCTCCCAGGAAGAGCGTCTCCCCGGAATCCGGGCCCACCGGGAGCTGAGACAGAACCTGAGAGGGGAGAGCAGTGAGGACGTCCTGCCCCTGCAGGGCGCCCAGCCTGCCCAGGCAAGCGGCAGGGCTGGCAGCACCCGTCAGACACCCTCGTAGTCTGGGACAAGCAGCCCCAGTGTGGCAGGGCACGGACGGGGAAGGAAGGGATGCGGGGGTGAGCATGCGGCCGAGCCGAGTGGTCTCAGACCAGCAGGCTGCTGGGGGAGGGAGGGCAGAAGGGCCCCAGGTAGTCTCGGCTTCGGGAACTGGGCCCACCGCCCACATCTGCCCCTCACCCCATGGACCAAGCAGCCGGCACCGGGGCTAAGAGGGGAGCAGCCCCTGGGCTCCCCGTGCCAGAGCAGCTCCACCCACCGGATTCAGACAGATCTTACTCCGGCAGCCTTGCAAGCTCACCTGAGTGGGGGACATGGACGTGGCACTGGGCAGTGGCTCGCTGGCTCGGGCCTCCAGAGGTGACGGCACTGAGCCCTGGGAGTCATGGCTGGCGGGCTGCTCAGGGGATAAGGCGTCACTGCTGTCCTCGTCAAAGGAAGAGCTGTCGGCCACTTTCGGGTAGTTCACCTGGCCCACTGAGACCCGAGGCTGGCGTCAGCTCCGCCGCCCAGGCCCAGCGGTGATACCAGCAGACAGGCGAGGGAGAGCGGAAGCCACTGCCTCCTCCCGACCCGGACAGCCCAGAAAGAGGCTTCCAAGGCCCCCACGTGCTGCCTGAGTTCTAACCTCCGGCCTTTAACTCGGCTGTCTCCCTCCCTCCTGGAGTCGAAGGAGTCTGCTTGCCCTTCGACCCCCCACTTCCTGAATGACAGGAGCATCCTGTCACCCATGGCTTGCCCTTGCCATGCACTGGGAGACAGGCTGGGCCAGGCACCAGGGTCACCAAGGGACAAGGGCGTGGGGGTCAGACTTCCAACCTCACCCAGCAGCCTCAGGGGAGGGGGAGCCGGGAGCCGGGAGCCGGGGCGCTGTGCCGTGGCAGGAGGAGCTTCTGGCTGCTCGGCTCTGCGGCCCCTGCCGCTGGCTGCCTGTCCGCATCCTCTTTATGAAAAGCCACTAACCACAAAGGTGAAGTGTGAGCCCCTCTGGCAAACTGGGAACCCAAGGCAGGGGGCGGAGCCTGAGTCACAGCCGGCCGGTCCGCGGTGAAGGTCACAGCCTGGGACTTGGACGGGTGTCCGAAGTTGTCTGGGACGGAGCCCCTGCCGTGGCTCTGAGGCATGGCGGCCGGCGTCAGCAGTGAGCTGACACGGAGCTCCCCCGGGCTGTCCCCCAGAAAAGTGCCCAGCGTGGGGAGCAGCGAGCCAGGGCGCCTTCTTCCTCTCCACAGAGGACATCAAGTCTGCACTCCCGGCCTCCGCTCGGCTCTCCTCCCTCTCCCTGCCTCGCCCCCCCTCCACACTCAGCTGATTCCTGCCTGTCCAGGCTCACCGCACGACCCCTGCCCCTACTGTGGCGGAGCGGGGAACCTCCCGTGTGTGTGCCCGGTGGCTGCCTGCCTGCCTGTCCGAGAGCCCGCCCTGCACACTGCCTGCATCCATCAGCACTTGTTGGGCGGTGGATCTGAGGAGGGGCCAGGCTCCAGGAAAAGGTGTCTCTAATGAAAACAAAGGAGGGCCAGCTCTGGTGCAGTGGGTAAAGCAGCTGCCTGTGGCACCGGCATCCCATAAGGGTACCAGTTCAAGTGCTGGCTGTTCCACTTCCGATCCAGCTCCCTGCTAGTGCGCCTGGGAAACCAGCAGAAGATGGCCCAAGTCCTTGGGCCCCTGAACCCACTTGGGAGACCTGGAGGAGGCTCCTGGCTCCTGGCTTCAGATCAGCCCAGCTCTGGCTGTTGTGGCCATCTGGGGAGTGAACCGACAGATGGAAGACTCTAACTCTTTCAAATAAATAAATAAATAAAAATCTTAAAAAAAAAAAAGGCATAAGTGCAGATTTCTAACCCCTGGTACTTCTCACGTTCACACACATCAGGCAGACACCTCCTGACCCACGGGAGATGAACAGGCCCTGCGTTCACAGAGACGGGGATGTGCGGAGGCCTGACACTCACTTAGGCAGCTGGCACTACCCTGAACTGACACAGCCTGCGCACGGCCCCGACCCAGCCTGCGCACGGCCCCGACCCAGCCTGCGCACGGCCCCGACCCAGCCTGCTCACGGCCCCGACACAGCCTGCTCACGGCCCCGACACGGCCTGCTCACGGCCCCGGCACGGCCTGCTCACGGCCCCGACCCGGCCTGCTCACGGCCCCGACCCGGCCTGCGCACGGCCCCGACCCGGCCTGCTCACGGCCCCGACCCGGCCTGCGCACGGCCCCGACCCGGCCTGCGCACGGCCCCGACCCGGCCTGCGCACGGCCCCGACCCGGCCTGCGCACGGCCCCGACCCGGCCTGCGCACGGCCCCGACCCGGCCTGCGCACGGCCCCGACCCGGCCTGCTCACGGCCCCGGCACAGCCTGCTCACGGCCCCGACACGGCCTGCTCACGGCCCCGACACAGCCTGCTCACGGCCCCGGCACAGCCTGCTCACGGCCCGGGCACAGCTGTGGCTCCACCAGAGGGGCCTCACCGATGATGGCCTCCTTCAGGCTGGACTCCACCGGGAGGATGTTCTTCTCCACGAGCTCCATGGGGCCCGGCCTCTGCGCAATCTTCTCGTTGAGGTCATCCGCCAGCCTGGCTCGCTTCAGCTTCAGCTGCTTGGCCTGCAGGGAGGGCTCGGCCGAGGTCTCTGCCGTGGGAGAGCGCGGGGGCCAGAGGTGAGGACGGCCCCGCCCCGCCCTGGGAGCCCCACGGCGGCCCAGGTAGACAAGAGTGGCCTGGCGTGCAGGTCACAGGGCAAAGGGGCACCACAGTGGGCAGTGCAGGGTCGCAGAGGATGACAGCCAGGCCCGGGCCGGCCCCAGGACTTGCCGCGGTGGGGGAGTGGGACGAAGGCGCGGGGACAAGGGGTAGGCCTCTGCCCGCCCTCAAGCTCCATGCCGTGGCGCAGTCCCTCCCTACTCTGCAACCTGTGGGGTTCAGACTAGGAAGGCCCCCCTCCAGCCCCGGCCTCCACTAGGCCGACGGCTGCGTCTGCGCTGCTTCAGGCGCCACGCGCCCCTTCCCTGGGGTGTGGGCGTGCGGCATCCAGGGCGACCCTCAGACATCACAGTGCTCAGCTGACATCAAGTGCATGAACAAGCAGCAAAGGGACGCCTGTCTGGGACAGACGGCGGAGCAGAGACAGATCCGTGACTTCACCCAGGGAGGGCCAGCCGGGGGAACATGACTGCTTCCTGAGAGCCAGCGGCGGGCGCTGCCACTGACCGTGAGGGCGGATGAAGAAAGCAGGAGCGCGGGACGGGGCGGGGTGGGGGGGCTCGCCCCTCCAGTCTCACCCACCTTCCAGAATGTGCATCCTGACCAGCTCCGATCGCTCAGGCCGGGAGCGAATCTTCCGCTTCAGATAGTCCTCCGTCTGCGAACAACACACCGGAACCTCAGAGCCTGGCCACCAGACCATGGAAGCAGCCTTGGCCACGGCACCTGTGCAGCCCCCATGCCCTCAAGTGGCGAGTGCAGGCTTCTGGGGCAGGGGGAGGCCTGGAGAGGACAGTCCACCCCCAACTGCGCCTGCTAAGGACAGGGCCGTCAGGGGAGCCTGTCCCTACAGGGCTGCGGTTTTCACAGTGTGCAGTCCGCACAGATCTCCAATTCAACTGCACCAGGCTTTTTTTTTTTTTTATAGGCAGAGTGGACAGTGAGAGAGAGAGAGACAGAGAGAAAGGTCCTCCCTTGCCGTTGGTTCACCCTCCAATGGCCACTGCGGCCGGCGCGCTGCGGCCGGTGCACCGCGCTGATCCGATGGCAGGAGCCAGGTGCTTCTCCTGGTCTCCCATGGGGTGCAGGGCCCAAGCACTTGGGCCATCCTCCACTGCACTCCCGGGCCACAGCAGAGAGCTGGCCTGGAAGAGGGGCAACCGGGACAGAATCCGGCACCCCGACCGGGACTAGAACCCGGTGTGCCGGCGCCGCAAGGCGGAGGATTAGCCTAGTGAGCCGTGGCGCTGGCTGCACCAGGCAATCTTAACTCCACTTCCCACACCTTCTCAGGTGTCCTGGTGTACACGCTGTACTACAAGAAAGCGAACTACCAGGAAGGCAGGAGGGAGGCGGGGAGGAGTGCTAACACCCGCTGCCGCCCACTCTGGGAGACAGCTTCTGGTCGCTCTTCCACTGAGAACGGAACTCAATCCTGCACCGGCTGCCACGGACCTGAACACAACGTCACACTGTTTCACAGCTTCAGCTCTGCGTTGCCCGGCGTGTGCCGCCTCAGGCCCTGGTTCTGCTGCACGGTGTCACAGCTCGCGAGCCTCAAAACCAAGGGCCTCATGGCCCCAATTTTTAGGCTCGGGGCAAACTAACCCCTCCCCCAGCAGCAGTCCTGCTGCCTGGTCTGGTTACAGTGTGCGCGTGAGACACGCTTGACCTGCGCGCCAGCATTTTTCAAACCCTCGGCAAGATCTGCATGGAGAGGAGAGGACAGACAGGTAGGAGGGAGCAGGGCACACCACAAAGGACTGGAGCACGTTCCACACGGTGCGGTCTTCACGGCCCGCTCCCCTGCCGCTGTGGCTGGGGTCTAAGGGAGGGACGTGCTCAGAGCCTAGCACACCGTCTGCAGTGGGGAGACCAACAGCAGGCGGGCGCTGCAGGTCTTCAGGCAGCAGGGGGCACTCTGAACAGCAGCCAGGGCAGAGGCAGGCCAAGCACTGGCTGAGAACCCCTGGGGCAGCGCCAGGACTGCTGAGCGCACAGAGGGGCTGGGAGGGTGCTGCACCAGCCCGGAGAGGCCGTGGAGGTCAGGGCCCCTTCCCACAGGCTGAGCTGCCTCGTCACAACAGTGGACATATCCATGATGTTGAGTGGCTGAAACCTGGCCCTCTGGAAGCCATTCTATGAACCGGTCTAGAAGGTTAGAGTTCCCTGATGGAAAACTGGGGAAACAGTTTGCTTTCAGCGTAGAATTTAAAGATAACAGCTTTGCAACTGACACTACAATCACTCATGACCATTGGACAGAATTACTAAGAAAATGAATGAAGGAACCAGCACTGTGGCGCAGTAGTTAAGCCATTGCCTGCCATGCCAGCATCTCATATCGGAGCGCTGGTTCAAGTCCCAGCTGCTCCACTTCTGATGCAGCTCCCTGTTGCTAACGCACCCGAGAAGACAGCAGATGATGGTCCGAGGACGTGGGCCCCTTCCACCATGTGCAAGACCAGGATGGAGTTCCCAGCTCCTGGTTCCGGCCTGCCCCAGTGTTGGCATTTGGGGCGTGAACCAGCGGGTAAAAGACCTCTCTGTTTCCTTTCTCTCTCCCCTCCCCTCACCCCCCTCCACTGCTCTGGGTTTCAAGTCAATCTTTTGGAAAATGGATGGGAGAGGAATCAACTGCAAGAAGAGGGTCTGAAAGCCCCAGTGAGAATGATACTGCCGCCACCACCACTGCAGGGTGGGCAGGCGGCTCCCAGCAGAGAAACGGACGCGCCGTCTCTGAAATGCAAGTGGACTGGCTGCACCCCGCTCGTCTGGAAGTGGGAGATGGAGATGTAAGCAGCCTTTCAATGCCCTAAAGTGTTAATCTCACTGTAACCAACCTAATATACTCATTTTTCATATCTCAATGAAGAACTGTTAATTTATGCTTCAATATAAAAGCAGTTCTTGTTGTCTGGAAGCCATGTGTGAACAGATGTGCGAGATAAGCACATATGGGTGTGTACGTTTATTACACGTTAGGGAGCAAAGTTACTCTGCTTAAAGCAGTAACAGTACGGGATCTGGAGTCACAGAGGAAGGGCGGGGCCCCGGCTTCGCCGCTGGCCAGTGGGCACAGAGAAGGCCAGGGTCCCGGCTTTGCTGCTGGCCAGCAGGCACAGGGGAAGGCCGGGGTCCCGGCTTCGCCGCTGGCCAGCAGGCACAGGGGAAGGCCGGGGCCCCGGCTTTGCCGCTGGCCAGCGGGCACAGGGGAAGGTCGGGGCCCCGGCTTCGCCGCTGGCCAGCGGGCACAGGGGAAGGTCGGGGCCCCGGCTTTGCCGCTGGCCAGCAGGACAAGTTTGTCAGCCTTCCCTCTTCTACCAAGCGAGTGCTCAGCGACACGGAAGCTGTTCTAAGCCACTCTTCTCCGTCCCTGTCTGTCTGCAGGGCTCCGACTGCCCGCCGCTCTCGGCAAACGAGAGAACAGTGCCACTGCCGCGGCTCCCAGAGTCCCGGCCCGACCCTTCTACGTATCAATCACGACTTCCGAGGGGAAAACACAGCAAAGCCAGAAGAAAAGTCCTGGAGGCAAACGCTGCAGAGTCTCAGGAAGAACTGCAGAACTCTGGGGAGCCAAGGCCTGAGCTTCACTGCGGGGGTTTCCCCAGCACTGAACGCAGAAGCAAAAGTAAGGGGAGTGGGGGAGGAAGCGGGTTCTGGTGACTTCCCCATCTCCACCCGCGCCGGCGGAGTACTCCAGGTCCCCAGGGAACTGAAACTGAGGGCACAGGAGTGCAAGTGAGGTGCTACAGCAGGGAACCGGGCTCGGCACCGGGCCCTGCTTCTGCTTTCTGCAGGTTCCAAGTGGACACTGGCTGTCCAGCGGCGGACAGGGGCCAGTGAGGCTCCCAGCCCCGGGCACGCCGGCCCTGCACTAGGGAGCTTTTCCAAGGCTGGCGGTCACGTCTTGACATCTACAAGAGACTATCTGGAATGAAGGGTGGGGAACCCCCAGTGGTCCCCAGAGCGAGATCAGGGAGACTCCCCAAGGTTCTAAGCAGAAACTCCGCTCTGGTCATGGGAGGGGGCGGTGGAGGCCGAACAGGAGAGGCAGACGCGTCTGTTCACACCCTGGAGTGCACGGGGGCTCCGTGGGAAGAAGGTGACTCACCCGGGCCCGCTCCAAGCTCCTTCTCTGCTCGTGAAACGCAGCTGGGCTTTTCAAGGCTGTGGAGAGAACAAGCGAAAGGTCACCTCACTGGGCAGCAGGCAGCAGCGAGCCTGGCGTCACAACCTGCAGTGGAGACGGCTTCGTAAGCTCAGGTTCTCCACAGTGGCTCGACCAGCCCCAGCGGGGGGCCGAGCGGCCCGAACCTCTGGGCGGGCACGGAGTTTAGGGGCTTCGCTGCACCAGCCGAGCCGCACTGGCCATGCCTGGCTGCCCACAGGGGCAGTCCCAGCTCCAGCTCTATGAAGGCACCCATGGGCTCACTTTGAGAGATATACTGGACTTGGCCGCGTGGGGGCCCGAGGACACCTGCCGGGCCTGTTAGTCTGGGGACCTGGAGACAGGAGGGGCAGAGCCGCGTGCTGGCCGGGTCCGCCTTGCTTCTTCAACCTCGCGGGCCCCTCGAGTGGCTGCAAGGGCTCAGTGGGACAGCTGAGTGCTGTTTCCTCGGGTGCTGGTTCCTTTTCCACTTCGGCTAGTGCTAGCAGTGCTGCTAAAATGAATCTGAATTGCATCTCTGAGGTCTAAAAGGAGCTTCGCAGCAATCGTGTGGCTGAGCCGGAGGAGGGCCACTGGCAACCAGCAGCGGACGTGGGCTCGGCGCTGTCCTGGGGCCACTGGCACACACGGCACAGCTCTCAATCCAGCCCTGGGGCGCTGGGCTCTCGGGACAAATGACAGCTCAGACGCCGGGAAGACGGGGAAAGGCCGGACTCACTTCACAGGGCGGTGGCAGTAGGGAGCAGTTTACAGGACTGCGGTCAGTTTCACTTCTGTCCCCTCCAGTTTCGGAGCAGCTGTGAAACTGCCCCTGCTTGGGGAGATAAGTGCTAGGCGGCGGCTGTGGTGGGAGAGCAGGCTGAGGCGTCGCTAAAAGTAGCAGGAACATAGATAGGAGCCCATCCTGCCTGACTTCAGCATCCGCGCTCCCAGGAGCAGGCTTCGCACATCACAGCAGCACTTCTTTAAGACCAAAATCTCAGGATATAAAACAAAGTAATGGCTGCACGGGGCCGGCGCTGTGGCGTAGCGGGTAAAGCCACCTCCTGTAGTGCCGGCATCCCATGTGGGTGCCGGTTCGAGTCCCGGCTGCTCCACTTCCGATCCAGCTCTCTGCTGTGGCCTGAGAAAGCAGTCCGTGGGCCCCTGCACCCACATGGGAGACCCAGAGGAAGCTCCTGACTTTTGGCTTCAGATCGGCACAGCTCTGGCCATCGTGGCCAAGTGGGGAGTGAACCAGCGGTTGGAAGACTTCTCTCTCTTTGTAACTCTTTCAACTAAATAAATAAACCTTTTAAAAAATTAAAATAAAGTGCTGCTTAGATCCTTCTCATCTTTCAACAGCAGGGGGAGCTCTAGATTTAACAAATAAACTCGGAGAGACCCCAGCACCGGGCCCCTCCCCTGCCCCTGCAGCACTCATTCCAGGCCACAGGGAGGTCCTGGACATTCTGGAAGGGTCCGCAGCCATCCCGGGCCTGCTCCTACTGCGTAAAGCTGGCTCAGCTCCAAACGCTGTCCGCCCAGGCCTGCTGCAGTGGGCGTGACAGGGTGGCCACAGTGACGGAGGCCTGGAGAAAGCGCCCCGCGCGGGCCCCGCCCCACCCTCCTGGCCTGCCCGGGTTGGTCTCACAGGCTATTGTTCCTGCATGGCCTGGGTCCCTGCCACACTACACAACCCGCAGAGCCTGGCAGGGTCCTGTCTGTCTTGCCCCTCACAGGGCCTGACACACAGCACGCCCCCACAAGGACTCTCAGTGAATAATGACTACTCTGTAAGAAGTGACACGAAGCGACAAACGAGAGGATTCCCAACTCCACACTTGACTCCAGCCAGGAATCTGGCTCTCGTCTGGGTTCAGCCTTCATCAAGTCCTGAGTGGACGGCCAGGGGCTGGCATTCCAGCACTGGGCTCCCCCAGTTACCGCTGGCCCGGCACGGGGTGTGACCACTTCCTGGGTGTCATCTTCCCCTGCACCTCAGAATCTCGCGAGACCCAAACAGGAGGCAGCGTGCTGAAGCCAGGGCACTCTCACCGCATGGAGGAGGTGCTACAGTCAGAGCCCATAGCTGGGCTGACTCACTGCTGCGCTGCCCCCGCAGGCCAGCCACCTCCTGCCCCAGTCCCGCACCGTCTGAAACCCCGACTGCTGCTCTAGCAGCCTACTCCGGCCATCCCAAGCGTGATCACAAGCGCTAAGGTACAAATCCCTCGACTGGAGGGGAACACGTAAGCCCAGACCTTGGTGGGAGCGCAGTGCACCGTCCTCGTGTTCCCGGCCTGGTGTACCCCATTATCGCAGTGAGTGACAGTCCAACAGCTGCTGTATACAGGAACCCACTTGACCCCACTGAGCTAAGAAAATGTTCCTGTGGCAGCAAGAGGTGACAGGCACTGTCCCAGGCACACTCAACATGCCGGCTGCTACCGCACCCCCAGTGCCTCCTCGCTGGCCTGGGGCAGCTACGACGTGCGGTGAACAGCAGGCTGCAGGTCGCCCTCAGTTCAGAGTGCAGTCCACTCCTCTGGGTGGCTTCTCCTTCAAGAAATAGAGCAGACAATGGGAGGAGGGGGTGCGAGGGGCTTCAACCACACGCACAGGCCAGAGGTAGGAGGCGTCCCGGCACTGTGGAGGCTGGTCGGCTTGGCTGCGGGACTGAGCGCACAGAGGCGTGAGGAAGGCTCATAGGAGGGTCCAGGGACCCGTCAGAGGGACCCTAGGGCTTCAGGCATCAAGAGCCACAGCTGGGAGCTCCCCATGCAGGCAGCAGCTGCCTTTGGTGCTGACCCCGTCCCAGGAGGCAGGCTGGGATGGTGAGAAGGCCGGAGGAATGTGCCGGCAGCTCAGGGCCTGCTCAAGAGAACCAGAAGGAAGACCCAGAGAAAAATTCAGTGCAGCAATGACCAGTTCCTGGGTCTCGCTCACTGATAACAACGCCATCACCTCACTGAATCACCTTCTCGGCCCAGGGAGTGACACGTGCTGAGTCTGACAGTGGGGAGATGCAGGCAGCCGGCAGGTCACCTGCTGCGAGGAGGCCCCAGCCCAGGCCTAGCACTGGGGGCCCCTCGGTTCCCAAGTAACCCCGCTCCGTCTGCTTCTCTTTCCCCATTTCTTTCTTTCTTTCTTTCTTTCTTTCTTTCTTTCTTTCTTTCTTTCTTTCTTTCTTTCTTTCTTTCTTTCTTTCTCTCTCTCTCTCTCTCTCTCTCTCTCTCTCTCTCTCTCTCTCTCCCTCCCTCCCTCCCTCCCTCCCTCATTCCCTCTCTCTCTCTTTCTTTCTTTCTTTCTTTTTTTATAGGCAGAGTGGACAGTGATAGAGAGAGAGACAGAGAGAAAGGTCTTCCTTTGCCGTTGGTTCACCCTCCAATGGCCACTGCGGCCGGCGCACCGTGCTGATCCGATGGCAGGAGCCAGGTGCTTCTCCTGGTCTCCCATGGGGTGCAGGGCCCAAGCACTTGGGTGATCCTCCACTGCACTCCCTGGCCACAGCAGAGAGCTGGACTGGAAGAGGAGCAACCGGGACAGAATCTGGCACTCCAACCGGGACTAGAACCTGGTGTGCCAGCGCCGCTAGGCGGAGGATTAGCCTATTGAGCCGCGGTGCCGGCCCTCTTTCCCCATTTCCAACCTGCTCTCTGACGGGTTCACAGTTTCAGGAGCCACTTCTGCGAGCAGGAGGGGAAGTGACGGAACGCCCAGCGCTCCTCTAGGGAGAAGCTGGAGCTGGGGTGAGCTTGGTCCACCAGGGTCAGACGCCGGGAGGGCCGCTCCGTGAGCGCCCAGCCAGCTTTGACAGGTGTCACCCGGTGCAGGGTGGCCCAGTGAGGATGTGAGAGAGCCAGGTAGGCCCAGGCTTCCCTAATGTGGAGAGGCAAAGTCACCTCAAGTTTCAAACCAGAAAATAGCTTGAAAACTTCTACTTACTTGTATTTGAAAGGCAGAGTCACACACACACACACACACACACACACACACACGGAAGGAGGGAGGGAGGGAGGGAGGGAGACCTTCCATTCCCAGGTTGACTAGCGCAAATGCCCACAGCAGCCAGGGCTGTGCCAGGGCTGTGCCAGGGTCTCCAGCACAGGCGACAGGGACCCAGTGCTTGGCCCATCATCTTCTGCCTCCCAGGTCCATTAGCAGGAAGCTGGATCTGAAGCAGAAGAGCTGAGATTTGAACAAACACTGTGCTGTGGGCTGTGGGTGTCTTAACGCACCGCACCACAGCACCTGCCCCAGGAAACAGGTTTTAAAGTTCAGCCCTCTTGGACAGGTGCACGGCACAGTGGCTGAGACACTGCTTGCAATGCCCACAACACATCAGAGTGCACGGGTTCAAATCCTAGCTCTGCTTCCAATTCCAGCTTCTTGCTAACAGGCATCCTGGAAGGCAACAGGTGGTGGCTCGAGTACGTGGGTCCCTACCTCTCATGGGGGAGACCTGCACTGAGTTCTGGGCTCCTGGCTGCGGCCTGGCCCTGCCCTGGCTGTTGTCGACATTTGGAGAGTGAACTAGAAGTGGGAAGATCTCTGTCTGCCTCTCAAATAAGGCCTCTACCAGTTGCAAGAAAAACCCCAAAGACCCAGAGTCCACCCGTAAATGTGTCCAACTCGATGGCCGCATTATCTTGGGCTCCTCCTGCCGCCCTGTTGCCTTAACAGCTCTGCCAAGGGCATTACTCACTCGGACCTAATTTTCCCAGAAACTCCCAGAAGGCAGTCTCTGGAGAGAGAAGTCTCCAAAGACCAACCAAACACAGGAGCTGCTAGGAATACACGTTCTGGGTGTCGAAGGGCAGTCCTCATCCTTCTCTCCCACCCTGGGAGCTGCTTCCTGGGGACCCCTGCACCGTCCAAGGTGTGCCGCTAATCACAGTTTCTGCTCCAGATGTGGGCTCCGCCGTCTGGCCAGGCCCGCTTACCAGTACCCATCTGTTTCTCCTCTGACACATACGCTGCTTAATTAAATGAAGCTATCCTCAAAATTTAAAAAAAT